ATTTTATTGTTTTCATCAATACAATAATTAAATATTCTTTTTGCTATTTCGAAGAACAAGAAAAAAGTTTCATTAAATCATCTGCACAAATTATTTTGTATATATTAGTTAATTGAATTTCTCTTTTATGAAAATATCAGTATGAATACTTTAAATCTTTTATTGTATTTGACTGACGTAAAGTCACGAAAATGGCGCGATTAATTGTATTTAACCACTGAATCATATTGCTAACATCACATTTCCTGAAATACATAATAAACACGAAGTATGTGTTATTATTGATCAAGGCAAAATCATCTAATAAACTAAGAAACGGAAATAACATTTCGCACATGCGCATTATGCGTAGGTTTATAAGACGATATTCTGTTTATTCTCTCATACTTAACAGCTTTTGTGATTTCAAGCATTGTCACGGAGAAAAAGGTAATTTGCCATGCTCAATGCCGGTGGTCCTGTGTTGGGGGGGGATGCGTTCATTGAATGCATCCCATCCTTGTTGATCTTGTTTTCATAATTTAAAAATAAAAGAACGTGAATTGATTTTTATAACAGATATAAAAAATATATGGGAATTTGTTCAGTTTGTACACTAACATTATATTAATTCAAATAAGTTTTCTGTTGAAAATATCATCAGACGACCTTTTCATCAGTAATTTAATTACATCGGAACAACAGAATATTAAATGAGCCGCGTCACGACAAAACCAACATATTGCGTTTGCGACCAGCATGGATCCAGACCAACCTGCGCATCCGCGCAGTCTGATCAGGATCAATGCTGTTCGCTATCATATTCTCTACTTGTAAAAGGGTTGGTAAGTGAACAGTATGGCTTCTGATCAGACTGCACGGATGCGCAGGCTGGTCTGGATCCATGCTGGTCGCAAACCCATTATGTTGGTTTTGTCGTGACCCGGCTCAAATATTAAGATTGTATTATCAGTGACCAACCTGATATAACATAATTGTAATCGTACGTTTTGATAGTGTAGAATGTGTCAAACAGATGGAAATGTGACCTGTTGTTTTTACTACTAGTTAACAATATCAATTAAACAAAAGATGTAGCGTTTATTCACCTAGATTTGAAAAAAAAGAGTTATGTTAATAGAATCAAATAAACAGACATTTTCATGTACATGCAACATCACGTTTCCTCAATGTGTTATTTAATATTTTATAAATATATTTCGACATCTTCACAACGATTACCTCAATGGTTTTCAAGGAAGAAACCATAAGGTGGAATTTTTAGAAATAGTGTTTCTCATCTGTCCCATTAATTTTATGGCAGACTTGCCACTTTTCTAAATCAAGGCAGTTTTTGCTTTTTTGTAAAAGTTTATACTATTTAACATGATTTTATACTTTGTCTTGTCCATTGACGTGCCATGAACCCCTTCTACATCTCTGTGATATTTTGCTGTAGATTGCACATGCGAAAGAAAGCACTACATCTCGTCGACTTTGCATATCAACGGATTGCGTCGTAAAAAAAGGTTTATGATGTAGAGACCCGAGTGTGCAATTTTTATGTAATTTTGTTGTGAAATGCTTCCGAGGGATCACTTTAATTTCAGATTTTTTATCTTGGTCATGGTGGTAACTAGTGAATTGTCATAGATTACAAGAATAATAAACAGAAACAACTGTAGTTCGGTCCTTAATTTTAATGATTTTTTTCTTTTGCAAGACATTCATGTTTTCTTATCCTCAAACTTACATTATTGTGATAACCAAATTTGAAATTCATCTTCAATGAAATATCAACGTCTGATGAATTCCACTTATTAAAAGTTTGATCTCAATACAATTTTCCCTATACAATTTATTGCCTCAAAAAGTAAACAAATTTGCCCTGGGCATTGGAATTCATTCTATAATTTTGCTGTTTGTAAAAATGACTAGAAATGTGACCTTTTCTCAAAAACATTAATTATCTGAAATTTGTTTTTCTATGGAAAGCTAAGATGTAAAAGTGACATAAATATTGTCTCGCTGTTTGAAACTCATTGACACATACAAATTTGTTTTAAGTTATATATATTGATAGTAGAACACACAACGAATTGATAGTTTCATCAAATAAGTCAATGACATACAATGCCGATCTAGCATCCACCAAAGTGATACTTTATCTGAGGAACATTTTTTTTTTCTATTGTGAAACGTTATTGTGACGGCATTTGATTATTAAGATATTCCCTATTTACCCCGCAAAGGAATATATACAAACCACCAACCTGTCCGTTCATGCTTTAAATAATGCATGGAGGGGCACTTGAGGTCTTCATTACTTTTAACTTTGAATGGTTTAATATCCGGCATGAAATTTATTGTTTCTGGTATACATGCAAACGTTTGGTTAATGATTGATTCTCAAAGCAGATCACAATAAATGAGGTCACGCAGGCAGGCGTGACTGATCATTCAATCACGATATCACGCGATTCATTTCATTTTCGTTCTCACCAACTTATCAAACACGATATTGTGTAATTTTAATTCACTTTCGTTATCTTTTTCATGTAATTCAGTAAGGTTTGTTTTACTTTATGCTTCAAGTTACAGGTTTATTGCACCATTTGCTTGAATTGTCTTTATACAAAAACACTATTTATTCATTTTATAAAGTTAAAAATGTAAAAAGTATATGAATATTCAGATTTTTGGACATTAAACCCTTTATGTTAGTTTGTTCTGAATGTCATGAAATCGTTGACCAAAACATTACGCCTAGGATCAATTTAATAGTCTAACTGTTTGAAATACAATTTATTTGTTGTTTAAACACTACGTAAGCTAGACGGAAATAGCTTCCTAACATTATATTATGTAACAAATAATACATTACAACATTATTTATAAAATCCATGTTTAGTTTTGAAGATATTATATTTTCTATTTTTGAAAACAATATTTAGAAATTCTTCCATCTTACGACTATGGCTATCTACAATAAGGCAAAATTGTCGCTGAATAACATCTTGAAGATGTTTTCCTATTAAAGGAACTCCACTGAGGGTTTTAAACCTAAAAAACATAAAAATTTATTTTTTCACATAGATAAACATGAGCACTTAAAACAGAAATATAAATAAGATATAATTAAGAAATATACAAGCAATATATTGAAAATCGTATGTTTGTGCTATTTTCAGTCCGATTTGAGTTAAAAGCGTTTAAACGCTTTTCAATTTTGGGTCATTTTTCACTATTATAATAATTATTCTGGAAAAACGGAGCAAGCTAATGATCTGAATGAAATTTTGCACATTAGTTATTGGTATAGATTTACATCAAATGGAGTAATAATCTCAAAAATTTATTTCCAGTCCTGTCGTCATGTTAAAAAACCTCAGTGGAGTTCCTTTGAATAATTTATATCTCTCTAGAACAAGCTTTGTATATTTTGCCTATTAGAATTATAAATAACACGTTACAATAAAGTAGTTTCTAAAAGACGCCAATGTTATGGGATTATACAGACTAATGTTATATTGATTATACAATCACATGGTCTAATTGAATGAGTTGATCAATGTTTGATAGAAGCAGAAAACTCCCCTATTAATTATTTAGCCTTGTAAATTAATTGGCTAGTCTGGGCTTAGTTCGAAGCTGTTTAAAAGAATTGTGGCATTCTGATATCCTAGTAACAAAAAAGATATTTGTAAAGAATACCTCGAGTAATGCCATCACCAATTCATAAGAAGCTGTCTATATTGGTTACAATATGTAAACTTCAGTTGATATCTCATAAATGAATTGGAATTTATACAAATGCATGCTTTAAGCTGTAGACTTCTTGGTTTTGATGTCTGGATCATGTTAAAATCATTTATTGCGCTTTATGTTATATTGAAATTTATATCTTTATTCAATACAATTACAAATGAAACTTCGAAAAAGCCATTCATTTTATTGTACAATTATTTGCTTTATATCAAACTCTCTTCTCATATGTATAGATACTACTTTTCGGGGCACAATTATATTTGGCTACTAACAGTAAAATGATATGAGAGATATTGCATTTTATATCATCTTCAAAAAACAGATTCAAGTCAACTCACTTTTCTTGTAATAATTGATACTACTACATAAAAGTACAATGCATGACAAAAATAATTGGTATATAAAGAAGAGATCGCCATAAATGTTATGTAAGTAAATATTAAAGCAAAACATATCAATAATGACGAGTGGTACGCAACAAACGCATATCCCAACAGAAACCAGCAACTCATGACCATCTGGAAAAAGTTGTCAACAGACAGCGCAGCGTCCTTCAACGTTTTTGTTTGTTTTAGCTGTCATTGCCTCTAAGGGAATCCTCTTTCAAACGCGAAACGTCTTATATTATTCGAAAAATCAAATTTAATAATAATACATGACAATTGTCTTTTTTTTTGTGTTTCTTTTTAAAGAAACGATCGGGCATTTTTATACGTAACCTTACAGTGTTTGGCAATATTGACCTGAGACATTTGAATATTCAGTTACCTTTTGTCGGTTGATTCTGCAGTAAACGGTTCAGATGTTTAAGTATGTCACAACGATATAAGTATATCTTATAATTACCAGCATAAAAGTTACCATACCTAAGTGACAAGGTGTTAGAATTTCTATTTCAAACTAAAAGTGGTAGGTTCGTATAAAAATTTACAACATTTTGCATATCTACTTTTATAATATTATGAGGAATTTTAACATTATGTTGTTGTACATGCAAATCACTCAGTGTGCGACTTTTAGATTAAAATTCATTAAAAATATTATATTAATCAAAGTTACAAAACTGAAACAAATGATGTTCCCGCACATGCTGCATAAATAATTCTTAACATTATTACATTATTACTTTACGAAATTCACCGTAGGAGAAAGGAGTATTTTCGAAATGAGTGAAAACAATCTGAAACAGATTTAAATTCTATTTAAGAATCATATCACAAATTTATTAAACTGTTTCATAAATGAGATAAACAAAACAATCTTTTTCTTATCTTTTGATTAAAGAATTTGTGTTAAATGTATTATATTTCAATAACGGATGCCAATATTTTACCTTCTTCTTTCATTTACGATAAAAATATAACAATATAACAATTATTTCATGAAACAATAATAAAGAGCAAATAAAGCAAGAAGTTGTTTTAATCAATATGAAAATGCATGATCTTTTATCTTTATTTGTTTACATGAAAATTACATTACGAACGACGTAAATATTATTGTGATTAAAGATAATCAGACGGCAAGCTCAATACATCTGACGCTGCTTGGCTCAGTATTATCTTGTTGTTGTTGTTGTTGTTCATTTTGTGACACGTCTGTGTAACTTCTTTTCTCACACCAGGTTCTCAGGCGTGAAAACAACGACGTCCGTAATGGACTACCAAATAGTAAACATATTATTGGACACAACACCACATGGCAAAAGCTTAGCATTGTCGAACACAATATAAATCGCGTGGAAAGAAAATTATAATCATAGAATACTTTAACAAATACTTGGAATAGATATAATGACCACAACAATAAAAATGTAAGTGTTGTTGCAAAGAATACTCGCGTTATGTGTTCGTTTTTTAAAACTCGTAAGTTAACAACTCTTCCAAAGTTTTGTTGTATTTGCTGAGCATTTGCTGCTATTGGATTCGGTGGGCCTCCTGCAAATCCATTTAAAAGATTTATCAAAGCTTGTCCATTGGCACCCGGTCCAAAGAACGCCCAATCGCTGCTCCTAGCTGGCTCGTGATACAGTGGCGCCATCTTTCGGTGAGATCTCATGAACAAAAACAGACGACAATACAGGAACATTATTACACAAAGCAAACAAACGAACGATATTGTATATCCAAGCGTTTCGTTTTCTCTATAAGGCAGGTGGAAAAAGGTACACTGCATTTCACTAGGAATATATTGATATGCCCCTTCTTCAAATATTGGTGGAAATGAAAGACAGAAGGCTACGCCCCATCCAACAATGATCACAGCAAGATTTACAAGTCCATGTGAACATTTACTGTAAAATCTGACTGACGTTACTGATAAATATCTATCAATAACAATCGCTAAAAAACCGATTACCGTTGAAACTGTGAAAAAAGAATTCGAAAACGCTAACACAGTGCATGTTTTCTGGTCATAAATCCATTGGAAATCTGATAACACCGCCTCAATGACAAAGGGTAAACAGAAAATGCTTTTTGATAAATCCATCACCGAGTTGCATATGAGAAAATAAAATGGCGCTTTATGTAACTTCCGGTCACTTGAGATGACGTAAATTATCACAACATTGCTGATAATTCCTATGGAAACTATTGGAAAGAGAAATCCTAGGATCACTGATTGATTAAATCCATATACGTCTGCTGTTGATTGACCTTTTGTAGTAATATGATTTCGGAGATATTCGAACGTACAATTTATGTCTTGTGTCGAAGAATTATAAGTTACTTTCATAGTTTTATTCATCGTTGATTATTCATAATTTTCCGTTTCCAATATTTTCGACATATTTGCGCAATATTTACGCTGAGCACAATGTTGAGTTGCTATGCCAACATGTAAACCAATCAAAGATACTATGTTAAAATAAATTATTTGTCATAAATTCAAAAAATATTTAAAAAAAAAGTACTATGTTGAGTTTTTTTTTCGAAGATTGTTACTTGTTCACCAAACAATTAAATCTTGTCAAACAACATATACTATCACTCAATTGTTGTTCTGTCTTTATTCAGCACACCGCTACATCGATAATTCATATTTTACAAAGATAAATGGGCAAAATGAAACATTACTCCATTTTAAAAAATAACATTATTTTCAAGTCTATCGTTTTTGTACTGGTAAACTTAATCTCGATTGAAGATATTCATGTGAATCAGCATTTTTTTAATCCGCAAGCATGAGTTCCAATCAATACAGATTCATGAATAAGACGTTTGCATAGATGATTATTCATCTTTAAAATGTTACTTGTTTCTTTAAAGGATAAAACTGCTTTCCGTTAAAAAAACTGCTTTTCGTTGAGTAAAGTTTGAAAACTTTACGAATATATAGGGTGTGCAATGTGATATTAGTATGACACGAAATGAGGTTTCGCAAGAAGTAAGCACACTTGTTTCATATGTCCATTTTATCAGTGGAAGTAACTCAATCTGTCGATCATGATAAACTATTTAAAGCAATGTATATGTTCTCGCGTTTTGTCTCGTCTTTAGGTGGTCATTTTCTTATCCTCTGGAAGAGCGGATATTGCTGTAAAATAAATATTGAAAATATTTCGAGCGAACTAAAAATAAAGCATACCAATCTTGAAACAAAATGAGAACAAATAATCCGTTTAAAGCTTATTGCAATGCACCCTACAAAAAATCGCATATATATTTGTATATAGCATTTGATTCATTAAAATTGGGGCTTTTTTTTAAAAAAAATCTCTTAAAAGCAGTGGAAAACGGTTTTTAGATATTGTGAAGTAATATGCATTTATAGATATTAAAAGTCATTGTTTTTGATTTCGTTCTTCAACAAGAAGATTTTAAGACTGAGATAAGGTTATCTTTCATTGTATCATGCCATACATTTTGATCAATACTGGCGACTTAAGATCAAAATTGTGATTACAGATTTCATTAGCAAAATGGAACTCAATGTTGATTACATCAGAAAAAAGTTGTTAAGAGAACAAATTAACTTAAATTGCTTTTTCAATACAAATCATTTGGGGTGATGATTCTGTGCTTGCAGTATTTGTTTTACTTTTATCGTTTCTAAAATGTTCGAAAGTTCTAAACAAAATAAATGGTATGACTTTCCTTATTTCTTTAATATTCGTTCTGTATAATAATATTCATATAGTAATTATCGATCATTTCTACGAAAACTTGTTTTTTTCTATTTTAGTTTAGCAGCTTAATACATAAAACTATACTTTTCTCGTTTACTTAAAACAATGTATTCGAGGAATATCGGCAGCTGCAAAACTAGTTTCATTCAAAACGTTTTGGAAACATAAATAGTCATTACTTTTAAATCAAACTGCACCTAAATATAACAAATTTCTAAAAAGATTAAGTATAATATTTAACTAAATTAAATTAAACGGCTTGATTATTTGTTCAAACAGGAAAATGCGTTAAAATTAAAAAGGTAAATATAATGCAAATAAACAAATACATTTCTTTTAAAGTAAGGATCTAAACCTTTACTTTCTCAAATGTATCAATGTATCATATCATGCTAAATAACAGTTATTATAGCGATGTTAAAATCAGAAAGAAAATTCAAAGGCTCAATTTATTTCTTATTTAAGACCTTTAGATTTTTGAAAAATTTTTATGCTTGTAATTTATGAACAGTATCCATAGTTTACAGATTTGACCAAAAAAGATCTTCTCTTTTTGAATTGAAGGTCCGTAACTTGAAGGACATTTGTCCTTAAACACAATACCTTTGTTAGAATCTTCTATACAAATTATTGTACCATATTTATGTTAAACCGTTACATTAAACACTATTTTTTTCCAGGTTTTAAATTCGACTAACTATAGCATTATTCTACTGATATATCCAAATGTATAATATCATATCATACTTTAAAAAAACAATTACCTGATTATTAAATAGGTTGTTGACACAGACACAATCACACTAATAAGAAACTTAGAATAACATGTCCTCAAATGTATATCCTTAAAACCGGTATATTTTCATTTCACAATAAATGCAGTCAAGCGGCGTTCCAACATTCCCTTGTTCTGCATCCAAAGAAATCGTCAGCAGTTATATGTAGACAATTTATTTCCCTGGTATTTGTAATAGCGTGCTTTTACTCAATATGAAGGAAATTTATCGACTTGGAATATTTTATGTATTCATTGGAACGATATCCAGGATGATTGGAAATTAATCCTTCTGAAAATACTGTTTGTGTTTTCTGTTACATGCGACAAGCGAAATGCATAAATATCATTCAATCTCTATCATTAGATGGGGAAACAATACGATCCCATGCGCGTAAGCCAATGTTTTCCGCATGCGTTGGATAGATAAAGAAATATCATGATAAAATTTATTCACTTCTAATTACCATGACATACGCCTCAATATGAAGTATTAAATGCGAGCGAATGTATAACAACGATTTGTATATAAGAATTGTATTCTCTCTGAACTGAAATGATTATAATTAAAGATGATTTTCTGATACAGGATTCCCATTTAGATTATGAATACATGAATAAATTAATCAGCATTTCAGCGCTGATATCACGTCCTCTAACAAAGCAATGTTTCCTTTATGGCCTTTTTTTGTCATGTTGTTACAACATTGCTTTTTGCTTTTAATGGTTGAATAATATCAGAAAAACACTTTCAGATTAAATGTAAAAATATCAATGTGCAGTAAACTAAGAGTTGATTATTGGAAATATCATGGAAAACCTACATCCATTGGAGACAATTCTTTAAATAGTTCATAAGAAACACATCAATCTGAAAAATATATTTACAATCCTAGTTAGGTCGTTGTCGACACGCTTTAAAAAAGGAGAAAAGAAGTTGATTAATACCTTCCATCGTTTTCTTCTACTGACACATATACATGTCTACATTTTATCTTTAACTGTTGTACTTGTTTGTCTATTTACTGCGATACGTATTAATCAGTTAGTCCATTCACTTTCGCCAGCTTTAATTCCCTTAACCCTTTCCCTCATGAGCATATTGTGAAAAATGGCCGTTTTCACTGAAAAGCCTCCTGTTACAAGTTCAAACTGCTATGAAACTATGGAAAATGCTTCAATACTAATCAAACTTGGCACAAATGTTGACTGGACCATTGCCTTTGTAACGACATGCTCAGTCTTAAATTTCCTGTAACCATGGCAACGAGGGGACATCTCAAAGTTGCCGAAAATCACTATTTGCCTCGATTTTTTCCATCAAAATTTATTTCAAAGTGCTGCAACTTCTCAAGGGATTGATATAGAGTCAATGGCTTTTCAGCGTTGGTTACACGTTACCTTATGATCGACCTGGGGTCATTTTTAGCCTCTCACAAGTTCATAAAATGTTTTTGGCGATGAGGGGGGCTCCCGCCCCCTTCAAACCCCCCAAACAGAAGGTGGTACATCCCCCTTCTGGCAACCCCGTGATGTATCTTTTGGATGGGGGGCAGCGCCGAAAAAGTGCTCACATTTTTAGCAACATTTCTCAAACGAAAACATGTGTTTGGGACCCAAATAGGACATTTTTTTTCTCACTATTTCAGGCCTAAAAGAAAGGGGAGGGTCCAAAGTGCGTTGTTTCGCGTATATATGAGGTAAAAGGTTAACAAAAATGATGGAAAACTTTGGAATCGCCCAAAATCTAGTTTTTCCATGTTAACATGTGGTCTTTCACCTAATTTTGGTGAAAAATTGTTGTTTTGTAACATTTATAATTTTTTAGTTAACAGATTTGGTCAACATTATGTTGGAGACTTTCTAGGTGCATTGCCGGTGTCATTGTGTGGCTCTGTATTGTCTGGAATTTTTTTCGCTTCTCCTTCATGATCTTTGTACTCATAATATTTCAGTTATACAATATATAGGAATATGTTTGCCTGCTGTAATTCAAAAATATCTTAGATGAAGAGCAATCAAAAGCATTTTTCATGCGTAACGTTTTTATTTATGTCACATTAAGCATACACTAAAAATGTACTTTTTTTAAAAAATAACCAACAACCCTGTCGATGATGAACAAATACATTAACTTTGTACTTTTTGTACCTTAAAGATTGAGTGTGCTTTAAATCTCAATACAACAATTCATAAGTTAAAGCAGTAAAAATTATCATGAATATCGTGTTCACTTACAAATAAATAAATTGATTGAGTAGAAAAATAAAAGCTTTTTCAGAAACTCTCGATTTACAATTTATTGAAATGATGAAGGATAGTAAAATAGTCGAAGTACAAATAATTCGACATTTTTTCAGGAATTTTAGCCATAACATGCACTAACTTCACGAATAATAGATATTCTAATGTTGCATCTTAAAGTAAAATAATAAGAGTAATAAATGATAAATAAATGCCCTGTGACTATATAAATGCCCTGTGAAATATGGTATATAAATTATTTAATAGTAAACTTTAGAACGTAATCAAACATATAGAATAACTGTAAATCAATAAAATATATAACTTATATAATACTATGATGACAATAGCTTTATTAGTGGATACATTACGAAAGAATAGTATAGTTCCAACGTCAATGCCAATGCATGTTATAATCCATAGTTTTTAGTGTTTCCCTATTTCACTTCACGATGAAACAATAACAAAGAATTCGATAATGTAACAAAAAATGTGCAGACAAGAACACGTTTGATAAATCATTTCAAATCGAAAAGTTTACATACAAATCTTTTCTTATAGTGACTTAAACTTTGCACCAAGAATAAACGAATCTCTTCTTACTGATATATAAGCTTATGTTCGAAATTATATGCTTACTAGAAGTATCAATGTTATTTTTTCTCAATTTTGAGACGCTTCAATCACACTCCTTTAAAATAAATATGTTCTGCTCATATGCAGATAGATATTATGATCGATTCTCTTTTAAGGCAGTTCATTTACGTAGCAATATATGTTTGTTAGATAAATAAAGAATAAAGGTTGACGTGATACGGCGTTCATGACATTATATCAATAATAAAGCTAACTGGGTTTTTGTTTAAATATATTTTTTGCGGACATGGCGTTCGAAATAGAAATGGGTATGTATGAAGTGTGCACTTTTTAATTATCTTACATGAAGTGAATCAATCCGAGTCTGCAATTCTCATATATATATATATATATATATATAATATATATATATTATATATATATATATATATATATATATATAATTATAATATATAATAAGTATAATATATATAATGTATACGGCTGGTTTTAATGCCTGCGAGGGATCACCCCCTTTCTAGATTTTAGTATATGCGATGTTAGCTTTATTTTAGTTATCGTTATTGCATCTATGATAATCAATGTCATTTTCATTTTTAATAGATAAATATACAGTTTATCAATACACTTATTTATCTTGTTTGTTTATTTCTCATTTGCTATAGAATTGCTAAAGAATTAACCCGAATCTGTAGTCTACTTTTTTTCTCTATCATTAAGCATTGAGTTATTCAGTTCTAATTAGAAATTTTTTATCGATGAATACAATTTTACATTAACACAGCCTCAACAAACTTTATAACTTACAAATATACTTATTTACACATGTCTAGACATTTATGCAGTATCTGAACAACTGAAGAAAGATTTTTTGTGTTAATTTGTATTGTAACAAAAACCAATTTCATGGCAAAAATAATTTGAAAAATAAATGCTTACAAAATATTACGGTAACCATAACAAAGCAACACAGTATTATTCTTCAAATTCATTAATCAACTGCATGAGCGTTTAATTCAGCCAAACTAAATAATTTATTAAAGAGGTTGATTGCTCCATCAATATCAATAAGCCCCAGCCTGACCATTTGATTAAATAACATTGTACTTTACTAGATATACCCGTCTGCACCATTCATTAAGTTGACGTCTGTTTCAACAATAACGAATACTTGAGAGCTAAAGAGCTTGAAAATCTAAAGAGCTGATTTCTTAAATATGTTACGAGTATTTAATATTTAAGATTTTACTGGTACAATCTAAAAAGCTGATTTTTTAGAAACATGGTAATTTAAAAATCCTGAGTTTCCTGATGTGTATGTCGGCCTTGCGTGTTATGTCACTTAAATAATTCAAATGACTTTATTTACAGCGTGGAAATTAATTATGCAATTAAGTTAATGAATCATCAATATTTTATTTGATTTGACATACGCTTCTATTTATAGTGCTTGCAAGTGACGAGATTAAACAATTCATGAAGGTAAGTAGTTTATGAAATATGAAAAACAAGATGACAAGATATGGCGGCATTCAATGCACACATTCTTCCGAAACACAGGACCACCGGCAAGGAGCTCAACAGGTCATAAAACAGGACAGGGCAAACGGGCAAATAGCGGACGGGATGCCTCCACAAGCCATAAGACTAGCGCATTTCAGTTATTTCTTTTGGCCTTTCATTTTTTATATTTTGTTTTAAAGCTTTTAAATTAAGGGATTCACTATTTTAATAATATAAATGTCGTTCTCAATCTGAAATCATTCCTTTTTTTGTTATTTTTTTTCCATGTAACTTTTGTGTATATATAAATATACTTTTTCCATTGTTACATTCTCACGTTATATGTGTTAAGGAAATAATAATTCCTGTATTATATGTAAAATCTTCCATGTCATACCAATATGTATATATGTTCTTTTCTTTTTATTGTTAACGACGATGGGCTTGTAATGCTTAAGTCAAATAAAATATTTGTTCTGTTCTGTTTCATTTTTGTTTCATTTTGTTTCATTTCATGTTGTTTTCCTATGTTGAAAAAATGGACTGTTATGGCAATAAATAGACCTAAAAATGGCAAATGAAATACAAAAACTGGATAACGTGATTACACAAGAGTAGCGAAAATATTTTATGAAACTTAAAATATTGGTAGATGACAGTCTGAAGATTATGCACGTTTTTCTATCTTTCTTAAAAAAATTGATTGTTATTGCAATAAATAGACTTAAAATATTGCAAATATAACAATATTTGTGATAACTCCAAAAGTACTTAACATATTTAATGAAACTTAAAGATAAACTATGCTCATCCTTGAGTAAAATATCCTTATCGCGGACATTTTTTTTCAAATCTATAAAATTCTTCCTGAATATGTGTCATTAAAATAAAATAATGCATAAACTATGTATGTGAAGCTGCGTTCCCTATTACGGGTCAAGCAAAGTTGGTACTCTTAAAAAAACAAAACAAAAAAGACAACAACCATAACACTGCCCTTTTTTTAAATGACACTGTGTATTCTTATTGTGACCACCTATATTGTGTTGTATAAATCTAGTTTCTATACTAGGTAGGGAAACTTTACACAAAACTATGATACAGACATACTAAGAACCCTAAGAATTAAGTTCATTCATGTCTTCCGCAATGGCATAATT